AAGTAATTACTCAATAGGCCCGTGAAGGTTTTCTTACGGTAAACACTAGTAACAAGAAAATGAGTGTCGTTGCTGATCATAAAAAAAAAGAAATGTATTTTGTGATCTATTTCTCGTTCCATGGTGAATCTGATGTTAGGGTGCCTAGAGTTAACATAGTGGAAAAATAGTAGCGCTTGATTCTCCGAATGAACTAAATATATATCTATTTGATATCTTTTAAGCTTTGTAAATCTTACTTAGTTTATATATTCCATTTATTTATTTATTTACTCTATATATTATTCATTAAATTGTAAATAATTTTAACTTTAGCTAAGATATATTTTAAAGTGTAAATAATGTCCCCAATAGACCAATTTCGATATATTAAAATTCAGCCCAACACAATAGACCTCAGCACGAGGCTCTGGGGAGTAAACCCCACAAACTCTAGTTATTCCCCAGAACCTCGTACTGAGGTCTATTGTTTAAGGCTGAATTTTAATAAATCGAAATTGGTCTATCAGTTTTTTTTCAAAGCTAAATACTATGAGACTTAAATAAAGTCATTCATTCATTCATTCATCCATCCATCCATCCATCCATCCATCCATCCATTCATCCATCCATCCATCCATCCATCCATTCATCCATTCATTCATTCATTCATTCATTCATTCATTCATTCATTCATTCATAAGCAAAATGTATCATCAACATAATGGAGGTAAAATAATATCTCGGAGTCCTGAAAATTTTTCAACTATAATTTTTCGTGATGCCCCATAAATAAATTAGAAAGAACAGGAGAGAGGGGAGAGCCCATAGCTACACCGGCCGTAAAAGGATTAAGAACGTCTGGAATAAACCAAAGCTCGAGAGTACTTTTTTTTTCCTATCTAGTGAATTGCAATGAAACATTGAATTGGTCATGCCGCGCACACAGAACTTAAAATTTAAAATATATCAACAACCGAGGTGGGTTTTTTTGGAGGTCTCCTCGCTGCCTTTTTATTATTGTTATTATTTTTTGTTGTTATTAACGGTGTGGCAAATAAAATGATAAGGCTAATGACTTGCTTAATGGGAGCCCACTTTTATTTGAAAAACATATTTGTCTTCATTGTTCAATCAGCGTGGGTATAGGGTGGGCAAGCTTGAGCAAACCTGCTAGTAAACTATCCCCAGCATTGGGGTTGAGCAACATGTCTCAAACAATCATTGTCATTTTTGTCTGTCTTCACGCGTTTGGACGTAATTTATTCAGTAATAAATGAACAAAGACCGCGCGCGCCAACTTATCATGCTTTGTGATGTCATCGTGTTCTGGATCCCATTTTATGTAAAGCCGACATAGCCTTTCTAGAGGTTAAAAATTTCGCACAATAACGTTTCCGCCCCATTACAAATTGCACCTGCACGATTTTAGTTTCTAGAGCATACAAGGCATTCTCTGAAGTAATCATGGGCATCTTCAGCTCAGTAAAGAAGTCATAACGTGGGTTATCAGAATCATGATTTGCTAACTATAAATCAAGGAATCTTTAGCGATTCTTACAGTTACCTTGTACAGATCAAATTTAAAATCAGCTTCCATGGATGCTGTTAATACATTGGGGTATTTTCTTGTACCAATAGTTGTAAAAACAGTTCTACAGAAGGAACAGGAGTTTGAAGGAGCAGCTTTAACTGTGAAACCATATGAGGAAATCATGAAGAACGATAATCAGGACTATGAGGTATTCCATAACTGG